AGCGCGGTCTCCACCGCGGCCTCCAGCACGGCCTCCACCACGGCCTCCACCACGGCATCCCACTGCGGCCTCCGCGACGTGCGCGAATGTGGCGGCGGCAAAACGCCGCCAAAGCGACCCCGCCATGCATAGTCCGGCTCATTCCTGCACTCGTGACCAATCCGCGGCCGCGGCGCGCGCTCGGGGGAGACGTGACGAGGAGACGTGACGAGGAGACGTGACGAGGAGACGTGACCCCGGCGTGACCAGCACGGCGGCATCATCTCCCGGCGTACGGTCTTGTGGTGGCCACGGCGAGGATGCGAGGAGTGTGGGTTTCGAGCTCCCCAGCCCGAGCTGTATGGATCTTTTCAGGACGCCAAGAGGCATAGCAAATTTTTATTTATTTTTTAATTTTTTGTAGTGACGTTGAAAATAAGTTTCTGGTAGCGTTTTCTGTTTTTTTACGGATTGTAAAATGCGCTGCTTGGGCTCTGTCTCGCTGTCGCGCCAGCGAGAGAGGTTGCCTGCTGCAGTGCGTGGGAGTCCGCGTGCCGCGTGCGCATGGCATCCTAATGGCATTCACGCGCACGCCCCGCCGCGCCCCGCCCCGCCCGGTTTGTCTAATTGCGGCTGCTTTGCCTGGTCTGCATGCTTTGCCCGCGTCGCTTTGCATACGGCGCCTTATTGCCCCGCCTCGAGATTGAAATGGATGCGGACCATATTTCTCCCTCGCCGCCGCCGCCACCACCACCACCACCACCAGCACCGCGAGGCGGGGGCCGTATTGGCCAAGTGATGAACGATGGTGCCAAATGGGAAGGCTCGCCTCGCCGCTCGCTGTTTTTGCAGTGCGGGCACAGCGCGGCACAGCAGGCGTATTCCGAACAGTGCTTGGCCGGTCCGTCTCCCTCGCACGTTCCCAGAACGCCCCATGAGTGCGAGAGCGACAGGGCGACGATGGCACAACCCTTCGGGAATCTGCCTGCAGGCTTTTGCCCCGGTGCACCGCCTTGCATTGCCTTGCACATATCCTCGCGGAGCAATGCGTTTATCATTTCATTCTTTGACTATAAATCGCGGAGCCCGGCCGTGCAACAACACGCCATTGTGCTGCGGCCGCGACGACGCCGTGCAGTGCCCCGCGCAGTAGCAGTGCTGGACACACTGCCGCCTTTTCCGAAACGCGCGGCGGCCGCGTCGCATCTAGCCGTTATCCTGGAGGGCATCTCCGCGGCGCGGCGCAGCCGGCCAGTCGGGGCTGGCAGCCCTAGGGCCGTGTTGCGGTGCCGGGCCCTGCTGCGCCCTGCTGCTGCTGCTGGGCTGATTCGCAGATAAAATATATCGCGAAACGTTGCCAAAGGCCCGGCCGGTGTGATTTGTGACGCTTGGCGGCTTGGTGCGCGGCTCGCAGCCTGCCGCCAAAACGGAGCAGGGATTAATCTACGTCCGTCCGGAGGAGACGTAAGTGTGTGTGTGTGTGTGGGGGGGGGGGCTGGAAACAAAGGGTGCGCGATATGGAATTCGCGTAGCGTGGAGGGCGGTGAAAGAAGACGACGGGGTGGGCGATTTATGACGTAAGGTTGTAGCCAGGTGGGTTTGCCGTTCGCTGCCGCGCGGACTGCGGACGGTCCAGGGCGAGGGCAGGCCTTTCAGCTCCTCCACTGGAGTCTCCTCGGCGCACGCGGCCGGACGGCGGCCACGACGGCGGGACGAATTTGTGTGACAAACACACCGCATGCCCCCGCCTCCCCGCCCCTCCGGGCCCTCCGGTCGCATGAGGGCCCAGACGCCAATCTTGTCGTCCTCGTCCTCCAATACAGAGTGCCTTTCCCCGAGGGGCGGCTGCCGCTGCAGGAATGCTTTTTGCAAATTTTCTTATCAAACGCGTTTCGGCTTGAGCCGAGGCTTGGGCCACGGCTCCAGCCCGGCCCAGGGCGCAGCAGACGCTGGCTGCCTCCTCTTTGATATCTCGCCGGGTCGGTCCGAGAGGGGCGTCTAGTCTGTTGGAGGCTGGCAGCCATGCTGGCGGGGCGGTCTGAGTGAGTGGCGTCCCGCCCCGCCCCGCCCCGCCCCGCCTCGGCCGACCCGAAGAGCCGACCCGAACGGCAATCGACGTTATTGGCAGCTAATTCGTTTTACCCGCAGACGTCGCCCCGAAGTGAGTCTGCAGACCGAGCTGTCGTGTCGCTCCGTCTCTCTCGCACTCGGGGCGCGGACCGGGCGGACCGCAGGGGTGCGAGAGAGACACGGCGGCGAGCAATCTCCGCCGTACCGACCGGCTCGGCTCGGTTTGCACATGAATATGAATACGAGCCCGTTCCCGCGGCGTGCTTGCGTGCCGCGTGCCTGGCCCGTCTCGCTTGTCGCGAAGCATATTAACGGGCGTGAGTCCGTGCAGTCGGCACTGCACTGCGAGACGGCGGAGCGGAAGGCGGGGGCCGTTTTGCAGCGGAAACGGAACGGGCAGCGGCGTAGCCAGAGTCGGGGCGGCGGGCCGCGGCGGGGCGGGGGCGTTACTTAGGGATACGGCCGGGGGTGGGGTGGGGCCGTGCTCCGCCGTGATACGGGTGCTTTGCGCGCCACGCCGCGCCTCGCCACGCCGGGGAAGGGATGGGTAACGACTTTTGGAGCGCCGCCAGGCAGCGGCTGCCTTTCGGCGTGCCTTTCGGCCTACCCCTGCGAGGCGCCGCGCCGCCGCACGGATAGAGGGTGGAGCAGTGGAGCCTCGAAGCCGCGCCAATCCGAGCGGCCACTTAATCCGCCGCCGCGGCCGGGGATCGAACCCGGGCCCTTGGCGAGGGCTCCGAGGCGGCGTAGGCACTTCCAGCGGCAGGGTCGTGACCTGCCCTTCCGGGGCTCCGGGGCCGGGCCGTGGCAGCAGGCAGCGCGTGGCGGCTGCGGCCGTAATGGTCTTGTGCTCCCCCGGGACGCTCGCGGGGGCGTGCCGTGTTGTTCGGCGCTGCCTTCGTTTCGCGCCCTCTTTCCCCCGATTGCTATGTTTAGCTGCAGGAAAAGCCATCTAGGGCCGCGGCAGGTCCTCGGCGGCGTCGTCGTCCTCGTCGTCACGGAGGCCGCAACGCCGGATGAGCCACAGGAAACGTCAGGTCGCGATGGGTCGCGAGAAAGTCACGTGACGCGCTCAATGAGCCTCCACGACGGCGAGGTGTCCCGGCGCCCTGAGCCGCTACGACGGCGAGGTGGCGCGTCCGTACGCGCCGAGGCAGAGGGAAACCGAGCAGTGCCTGTCCGCAGCCCGGACCGCCTAGAAAGGCGAGCATGTTCCCGCCGCCGTCGGGAGTTGAACCCACGCTCCTTGCTTCTCGTAACCGGCGCGTTAGTCCGCGCGGCCAAGCCGCGTGCCGGGCGTTGCGGCGCCGCGGTGACGCCATCCCCCGCGTGGCCCAGCCACTGGCCCAGCCATTGGCCCAGCCCCTATCGCCGCGCGCCGCGGGGGCCCCGCCGTCCAAGCCGCTTCCATTTGCATACAATATGTGGTGGCCGCGCAATGCGACGCCGCGGCTCCGCGGCGCAATGCCCCCAGTGGCGGTGGCGGCGTGGCGGCCTTGGTGTCCGGGAGGCTGAGCCGGACAGCGCACCGGCCGGCATGAGCCGAGCCGAGCCGAGCGGTGTGCAGTAACGGGACGAGATCGCATCTGCCGCGGCCTGTACCACCGTGTCCACCGTGTCCACGGTGCCCGTGTCCACTGACCCTTCCCGCTCTCGAGGCCGCTCACGCCGAAGGACAGGCAGACATCGCCAAAGTCCACGAAAACGCGGCTGTGGAGAGACTAACTTGAAACGAATTGATAACGAGAAGCTTATGTTTGAGTAATGAACTAAAGCTCTCTGTGAATGTAAGGTCTCTTGTAAAGGCGTGACTTCTTCTGTAAACGGAGATCCCTTGTGAGTAAGAGCCGAGATCCCTCGTGAAAAGACGCTCCCTCGCCCTTGCGACAGCAAGCACCCTCGCAATGACGAGCTCTAGCGTGCAAACCGAGGGCCTCGCCGCTCTCGCTCCCCGGTGGTCGCAGTGGTCGTGTTTCGTTTCCGGCCAAGGCCGGATGGGGCCGGCACGGCACGCTCTGTCTCTCTCGCACCCTTACGGAGGGCCCCACGAGTGCGAGAGAGACAGAGCGAGACTCTTCTGAATGGTTCGGCAGGCAGGCTGGCAATGGGCGGCGCGTTGCGTGATTGGCCAGCCTGTTTGCCATGCGCGGCGCGCCATCGCCGCGGATCGGCGTTTCGGCGTGCGCGTCACGCCCGGGACGACACGCGCGTGCCTTGGGTAACGCCTGGCGGGGCGCCACGGCACGCCACGGCACGCCGATCGAGACACGCGTCAGCGCGTCACGCCACTGGGAGCACGCCGCTCAAAAGTTTGGCGCCGTCAGGGACTCTCGGTGACCTGGCCATGCCGTGGCCATGCCGATGGACACGAAGGCCCTCCTCCAGGCCGCGGCGTGCCGCGCTAAACGGTTGCTCAACGGCCGCGGCGCGGGTGGCGCGCGGCGCGGCACGGCGTGGCATTGAGAGTCAAGCAACGCGATAGACGATAGACGCGATAGATTAGCGCGGCGCCGTCAACGACTCGGCGCTGCATTTTGCAAGCAGCGATACGACGACAGAGACAGCATTAGAGGCGCATTAGCGGATAGTTAGCCTTACGCCTGCCTGTGGGAACCGCGCGGAGCCTGCGCCCGGCCATGGCCCCGCCCCGCCACCCCGCCCCCGCGGCGCACCGCCACGCCGCGAAGCACCACGACGACCTGCATGATGTGCAACTCGTCGAACTCGCCGTCAAATCGGGACCTGTCAAGAGACCGCGAAAGACTTGTCCGCCAGCCCGAAGATGCCGTCGAGCTGCAGGGAGGCTGATTGGAAACGGCGGAGCGGAGCGCCCGGCGGGTAGGCAGCCACTCCGGAGCGCGTGCACGGCTGCGCGCGGGCGGCCTACCTCGCAGGCGTCCTCATCCCAGACTCGTCCCAGAACTGACAGTGTTTTGTTTTGGTTGTTCCAGAGCTGGCCGGGGCGCCACCTACTCGGCGGACGAGGAGCCCAAGTCGTGCTGCGGGGTGTTGGTGGGGCAGCCCGTGTCCATCCGGTGGTTCATCCTCCTCATCCTCCTGGTGGGGCTGTGCTGCGCCGTGGTCGGCACCGTGCTGGGCGCCATGAAGGCCTCCGGCAGGGAGCACCTCACCGTCTCGCTGCTCATGATAGGTAAGTCGGAGTAGGGGCGACCAGGGTGGGTGCCGTTCTAAGAGTCCATGTCGGGGCTTTGCACACAGGACAACAACAAAATGAACAAAGTACGCATTTTACGTGTCTCCTGCCGTTCGGGAGTCACGGAAAAGCCCGAAGTTTGCTTTAGTTGGCGGAGAGGAGCGCAGAGGAGAGGCCAGCGACCCGCGCTTTGTCCGCGCCGCCGCCTTTCTCCGCCGGTAAACGGTAAACGCTCCGGCGACTTGATTCTTGATTCGACTTTAACGCCTTGCCGACGCTGGAAGGCTGAGGCCGGAAGCGGCCATTCTCTGCCGAACGCAATGGCCGCCATTACGGGCCATTCCTCGCTCGGCTGCCCGGCTGGGGCAGGCTGCCCATTGCCCGTGGCTCGGACGACCGGACGACCACAGCGCACAGTGGGCCAGAAGACCGGTGGAGGCGGACAAAACTCCACACGCGTTTTGAGCTGCAGAGTCGCTAAATGGTTCTCGAACCGAACGTGTGACCCCACCAATGGATTGCTCTCCGAACGAGGAATCCAATGGTGGGGTCACACGTTCGGTTCGAGCCCCATTTAGTGACTCTGGAGCTCAAAACGCGTGTGGAGTTTTGTCCGCCTCCACCGGTCTTCTGGCCCACTGTGCGGCGTGACCCGCACCGGCCAGACACCACCAGTGACCACAGACTGCAGCGGCGGTGGACTGATGCCGCGCAGCGTTTCGTCGCGCTGTCCCTCTCGCACCCACGCGGGACGCTTCACGAGTGCGAGAGAGACGGTGGCAGTGTGAGCGTGAGCAGCGCGGTGTCCATGGTCAGGGAGGGGCCGTGCCGTGGGGTCGACTCGTGCCTCGTTCGTGCTGCAGCCGGTTGCCTTAGGCACCAGACCGTACCGCAAGCCCTGTCTGTCTGTCTGTCTGTCTGTCTGTCTGTCTGTCTGTCTGTCCCTCCCCTACTTCAACCTCCTTCCCTTGGTGACCATGACAAGCGAAAAGAGCAACAAGAAAATGTCGCGCGCGTTTCGAGATATCGGATCGCCGAAACACGTCCCAACGCCCCCCCCCCTCCCCTCCCCTCGCTGCTCCCCGATTCCCGCCAACGACGGCACGTCGCGGCGCTCTGTCTTTTTGCGTTTTTCCGTCGGGGGCGTGGTCGCCCCATCGGCGGAGGCTGAGGCTGAGGGTGCGAAGGAGCGGCGGACTTGTGGATCCTTCCGCGGAGAGGGGCGTGGGGGCAGGCCGCCCAGGCCACTGCGTCGCGACAGCGACAAGGGGTGGGGGGTCGTCGCGCCAGACCTGACAGCTACTTACGTTAATTAGACACCCCTTACGGTGGGCCCCCGAGGGGAGGGGGAGGGGGGCGACGTGCGTGCGTGTCTGAGAGGGTGTGCCGCGTGTACACTGGGAATGAAAATGTATCGCCGGGCCTGGCCGGGCCTGGCCGGGCGAGGGGATCGATGCCCGGACTTGCGACACTCTGCGGTGGACCTGTCCCTCTCGCACGCCGTGCGGAACGCCCCACGAGTGCGAGAGAGACAGAGACTACTGTTCGGAATGGGCCTGGCCAGGTTTCCCTCTCCAGCCTTCATCACACCGTGGCACACTGCTGAGCTCGCCCAGAACTAGAGTGTGGGAACTTGCAGCAGTGCCGGCCAAGCGGCGGCCAGGCGGCCTACCCCTGTCCCTCCTTGCTGCCCACGACCTTCACCCAGTGCCCCCTCCCCCTCCAAAACTAAGCAGTGGCGGTCCGGGCCGCCTCTGGGCCGCGCTGCATCTGCAAATGGCTTCATTTCGTGCCGCCCCCTTTTTCCCTCTCGTAATTCCTCCGCGGCTTGAGGCCGAGCAGTGGCTCTCGCACGCCTGCGCGGCACCTGGTGCGTGCGAGCGAGACGGAGCGACGAGTGCCGCCGCCCGTTCCGTTCGATGGACTGTAATTAAAAAAGGGGCCTCGTGGTTTTGCTGGTTTTGCGCGCCGGTCGGTGAAAACGCGCGGCGCCGTGTTGCCGGCGGCGGCGCGGCGGGCTTCCCTAGCCAGCACGTCTCTCTCGCACCCTCGCGGGGCGCTGCGTGAGTGCGAGAGAGACAGGGCGGGCCAGCTGCGTGGCGGTGGCGCCGCCGACTGCCGGGCCAGAGGCGCAGCGCCAGCGCCCATCAAACGCTAATCAACTGGCCTGGGGGACGGGCGCGGCACGGGGGTGTTGGTGGCGGGGAGGGCGAGGAGGAACAGGACACGGCGCCGCTAATGCGCTGGTCATCGGTTGCACAGCGCGCTGCCGTGGCCGCCGTGGTCGTGCGGTTGCAGTCATTGCAAGATAACGTCACGGTCGCGGGGCGAGGTGGGGCGGGGCGGGGCGGGGCGAGGCGGGGCGGGGCGGGGCGGGGCGGGTCGGGGCGGCCAGTGGGAGGCTGGAGCAAGAAGTCTCACTTTCTCCCGTGGCGCCCCCGTCATCCGGCGGTCCGTGTTGGCGGCGCACTGGACGCAGTGCGGGCCGGGCCTCCGGGTTCACGGAGCAGACGCTCTGTCTCTCTCGCTTCCATAGGGGACGGCCTGCGAGAGACAGAGCGACGGAAACGACTCTCGGTCTGCTGCCCTGCTCCCACCTCCCGCACCTCCGCCTCCAGCATCGTGGCCACGCTTATCGCGCGTCGATCGCCGCCGAGCACTGCGCCGTCATCTTCCGACACACGGCCTGCGCGGCCTGCGCGGTCTCCACGGCCCCAGGACGCGGGGCAGCCACGGCGGGCCGGGGCGAACGCGTTCCATAGCGCACCGCCTTTACATAAGGCGGCGTTGTTAGCAGGGCGCGCGGCCACGGCCTGCTAAACTGGAAGGGAAACGAACGAGACGTTTATCGCAAGGCGCTGCTGCTGCCTGGCTGCCAGCCCGGCCAGACCGGTGGCCGGCCGGTGATGTCTTACGCCCGGCCGCGCAGGCAGACTGGCAGGCAGGCAGGCGCGCTGGCAGGCAGCCGGGCCGGGGGTCGTAACAGTAAACAGGCGCACCCCGCCCCGCCCCGCCCCGCCCCGCCGCTAGCTTTCGCCGTGATGCTGCGCGACAACGAGGAGAAAAAGAGTCGTGACACACCTGGCCGGGGCCGGTACGGGGTAGGCGACGGTGCCAACGACAGCCAAGGCAGCCAACGGCCGAACAAAGGCAGCCCCCGCAGCGGACTGAGTCCGGGAGTCGTTTTCGTCGCTCTGTCTCTCTCGCACTCACGGGGCGTCCCGGATAGTGCGAGAGAGACAGAGGGCCCTCGGAAGCGCCGAGACAGCTAAAGGTAGCCAACGGCAGGCAGAGGCATTTGGCGGAGGCAGCTGAACGGGAAGCCCGGGGCGACCAGAGGCAACCGAGGGCAATCAAAGTCCGCCTCAAAGGTTGCCGAAGGCCTCACCGAAGGCCGGGGGCGGCCGCGTTTTATGGACTTCGCGGAGCCGCCTCACCGCCTGCGAGTAAAAACGTCCCGGAGGCCGGAGGAGGCGCCGGAGGAGGCGCCGGAGGGCCCCAGCGCCACGCTGCGCCAAGCCCAGTGGAAACAAAAACAAAAAGCGCGTGGGCGGGGCGGCGGGGCGCAGCGGGATTCGAACCCGGGGCAAGACGAGCCGAGGCGGGGCGGGGCGGCCGTCACGGTGCGGGGCTGCGGGGCTTTCGATGCGCGGCGCGCGGCTTTCGCCCGGAGAGCGTAATAGGAATCCTCTTGGCCAGGAACATGAGTCGAGTCGGCCTGGCAGCACTGCTGGGCCCAGGGCAGCCAGGGCAGCATGAAAGTGAAACTACGTTGCAGGTCTTGCCTGCCTGGCGCCTGCCCGGCCGCCCGGCCGCCAGGGTGCACGCGCACTGATCAACACGCTGCACTGGACCCAATCACCTTAAGCGGATTCCGAGCTGCAGCCTGCAGCCCCATTCCGGACGCTCTGTCTCTCTCGCGCACATGCGGCTTGGCGCGCTTCGCGTGGGAGTGCGAGGGAGACAGAGCACAAGCCGGCTGCCGGCCGGTCCGTTCTGCATGCCGCCGTGCTTTTCCCATTTATTTTTGCAGCTGCAGCTCAGCGAGGGGGAGTGCAGGGCAGGGCACTAACCGAGATGGGGGCCTATGGGGCGTCCCGGATCGAAGTCCTCGTGCATGGCTGCGGCGGCATACGGGCCGCTGTTATGGGCATTGGCCAATGGTGCATCCGACGGCACCGCACTGCACTGCCGCTGCGGCACTGCAAGCTGCAACGCCCTGCAACGCCCTGCAATGCCCTGCAATGCCCTGCAATGCCCTGCAACGCCCTGCCTGCCCGGGGCGGCCAGGAGCGGTCAGCAAACGGGCTGCCTGTGTCGGCATGAATGAGGCTGTGGCCGTGCAGGCCGTGCTGGCCGAGCAGGCCGAGGTCGGGGGGGATTTCCCTTGCAGATGAGAGCCGAGGCCCAAAGGCTCGCCACGCCACTGGGCGGAGGCCGGGCCAAGGCCCTACTGTGTGATAATAGCCACGAGGACTGTCCCAGCCCGCCCCGCCCCGTGAGGAAAAGAAGAATAATAAAAGAGGGCGAATCTTGTAAATCACTTTTCCGAATGCAGATAGCGAACGTGGCCGTTAATTTATGGCCTCGGGGCGAGGAGGCCCGGCGACGCGGACCCGGGAAAGCTCCCCGGGAAGGGGGGTGGCGGAGGGCGAGGCGGGGAGGTCCCCGTGTCAGCGACGCCGGCGACGCCAGGGTAGCGCCAGCGTAGCGCCAGCGCAGCCGGGAGGACCGTTTTATGCATGTCGTGCTTGTTTGAAAGTCTGTGCGAACGCCTCGCCTCTCTCGTCCCGACTCGGCCAGGTCCGCCAGGTCCTCCAGGTTTCCCGAATAATGCAATGAGATACCGGTGTAAGCGCGCCGCCGTGCCGCCGTCCCGCCGTGCGCACAGGGTGCGCTTTCCGCCTTGGTTATTAAAACAGTTTGCGCGGCGGCGCGGCGGCACGGCGGGGCGACCAAGGGCGTGGCGGTGCCGAGGAGATCCGGAGCCACTTGCG